CTCTCAATGGAAGATTAAAATTGGGATTCATCAATTGTTCAATTTCGTCTCTAAATATGGACTCTCTCGAATACGAAATATGATTATCTAAAGATTAGTTGGTGATGTCTTGGATTCTTAATTCTATTGAAAGAAATTTGGCTGAAATTTTCAACTACTTTGAATCTGCACATGATTTTTGGACTGTCATTCGCGACATGTATGGTAACCAAAACAATACAGCATAGATTTTTCAGATTCATTGTGAAATTGCAAATCTTCATCAAGACAACAAACTATTTGTTCAACTATTAGGAAATTTGAAAAGTTTATATAATGAACTAGAGATTTATCACCCTCACATCTGTGATGCTGCAGTCATATACAGAAGAACAGAGAAAGACAGAATTTTCCAGCTCTTGACAAGTCTCAATTCTGACTTTGAAGATTTATGGAGCTACATCATAATAAATTCAGAGCTGCCATCTCTGCAATAAATTATAGCAATGTTCAGCGTGATGAAATTCACATGAAAGTGATAAATCATGAAACTCAGTTTAAAACAGTAGTTACCCATGGTTATCATGTCAAGACAATGCCCCATAGTGAGAACTCCAATTCTGGTATGCATGAGCATGCTTTCTTATTAAAACAAACGGGTGATGGCAAATAATTCAACAGAAAATGTTTAAAGTTGAAATGCAACTACTATCATAATACTGGACACCTCACCAACTGGTGGTGGCAACTGCATCCAAAACTTAAATCTAGATTTTCTAATAAGCAAATAGGACTTCAGAAAAGAACAAACTATAAAGCATATTTGGTAAATTCAACTTTATCAACTGATAACTTCATTGCCAACCCCGTCGCTTTGATACAGGATTTTACCAATTATCTGCAGGACAAACATAACCATGGGAAGATGCAGTATAAAAACACTAGAACTGTTGAACAGGAACAACATCAATATAACTCAACTACATTGATCAGTCACCTCATGGATTTTCTAGCAGAGACAAATATAAACACCACTCAAGGTATTCTAATTGCTTTTATGATTGCATTAGAACTTCATAATATGCATGATCTTTGGATTGTTGATTCTGGAACTACTGATTATATGTCAAACAAGTTGATAAATTTCTCTAACCTTGAAAGATTTGTTTCTTCTGCCTTTGTTTTAGTAGCAAATAGGAAGGGGTCTTCTGTAAAAAGTAAGGGAAAAACTAAGATTGTCTTTGAAATCATGTTTGATATTCTATATGTTCCTTCTTTTCCTTTTCAATTACTCTCGGTCAGTAAGATAACTTCTACTTTCACTTATGATGTAATTTTCACTCATCATAAGATTATATTTCAAAACCGATTAACTAAGAAAATGATTGGAGAAGGTTTTTTCCTGCATGGTCTTTACTATTTTTTTCAGCATAATTGTGTTCCCAAAAGCCTTTAGACTAGTTTCAAAACATCATATGAGCCACTCCTATGACATCGTTGTTTAAGATATCCATTAGATTATATACTTAGCAAAATAAATTCAGTTTCCATCTTAAAACCTTTTTAATATGAGATATGTTATTTTTCCAAGTCATTTAAATTGCTATTTAATAATTCTGCTACACATGTATCTCATACGTTTAAACTTATACACTCAAATGTACGAGGACTTTTCAACACATCTATTGATGGTTATAAATATTTTATAACCTTTATTGATGATTTTTCTAAAGTCACATAGGTGTATTTATTAAAGGCTAAGAGTGATGTTTTTTCCTGCTTTCAGGATTTTAATATGTTAATTAAAAATCAATTCTCTAATCATCTTAAAACATTTTGATCAAATAATAGCTCAAAATACATGTCCAAAGACACGACGCATTATTTACATTATAATGCCATATTACATCAAACTAGTTATGTTGGAACACCGTAACACAATGGAGCCTCTGAATGAAAAAATCATGATTTTCTTGGAAAAAAACTCATGCTATAATATTACAAATATATATTCCAATGGGGTTTTGGTCATACGGTGTTCTTACGACTGTCTATTTCATAAATCGCTTCCCCAACTGCGTGCTGAATTTTAAATCTTCTCTTGAAGTTTTGCAGGTTACAAGTCCTAAATTGGCACATCAAAAGTTATTTGGATGCCCATGCACTTACCCTCATCAAAATGGGACAAGCTTAATTACATAACTGTCAAATGCATCTTCTTGGGGTATTCTCTAACACAAAAGGGATACAGATATTATGATCCCTTACAAAAGAAAATGTATGTTTCAAGATATGTTTGAATTTCTGAAGATATGCCTTATTATCTTGTCACAAGTCAAAAAGATGATGATTTTAATTTGTTTCTGCCACCTAGTTCCAGTTATTATGATCAAAATATATGTTCTCTGTCCTAACAGGTTCCTAAAGTTCCAGATATTAGAGTTCAACTCATTGTTAATCAATCTCTTTCCACCACTGTTGCAGATCTTCTGGATGTATATCCAACACCTGATGTTCTTTAGCCTAGTATAGAAGCCCCTGTTATTCAATATGATGAAGTTCCTAGAAGAATGTCTCACAGAGCATGTCAGCCTCCTCCCAGATTATAAAAGTATGTAACATATACTGTCAAGCATCCAGTCTCTAAAGTTCTGTCATATAATAAATTATCCTCATACCATTGAGCCTTCCTCACCTCCATCTCTAAAAATCATAAACCTAAGTCATTTTAATAAGCTCAATCCCAAGCTGTATAGTAGCAGGTTATGACAAAAGAATTTAGTGCACTTGTTGATAATCAGACATAAAGTATCATGCCTCTTCTTATAGGTAAACACATTGTGGTTGCCATTGGATTTTCAAGACAAAATTCAACTCAGATGAAATAATTAAAAGGCATAAAGCCTAGTTTGTAGCTCAAGGGATCTCATAGAAATTTGGAATCAACTACAAGGAAACCTTTGCTCTAGTTATGAAAATAACTATTGTACGTGTCTTGTTATCTGCAATAGTTAATCAAGGTTGGTCATTATATTAAATAAATGTGCGCTATACATTCCTGTAGGAAGAACTTGAAAAGGAAGTATTCATGGAGCTACCCTTAGGACATTCATAAAGTCACTCTCCTAACCTGGTCTGTAAACTTCACAAATCCATCTATAGATTGAAACAGAGCCCATTAGCATGGCATGCCAAATTAAGTATTGCTTTACAGACATTTGGTTTCATAAGACATAATGCTAACTCTTCATTGTTTATTCAATAAAATTATACAGACAAGTTGATTGTGCTTATATATGTAGATGACTTAATTATCACTGGAAGTAATGAAACCTCTATTACAAAATTAAAGGTTGACTTGCAGCAGCAATTCTCTATTAAAAATCTTGGGAAGCTGAAGTATTTCTTGAGGATATAAATGGCTATTTCCAGCAAGGGTGTGTTTCTTAACCAACGGAAGTATATCTTAGACATGCTACAAGATGATGAAATATGATATACCAAGCCAACTATTACTCCTCTTAACAGAAAGTTGCGGTTGCATTCATCAAGCAAACCTCTCCCAACATTCACTATTTATCAAAGGATTGTTGAAAAATTAATTTACTTGACAATTACTAGACTAGATATTACATTTGATGTTAGCTTATTGAGCCAATATATGCATGATCCTACAGCTTAACATCTTGACATGATGAAGCGTATTCTACGATACTTAAAATGAACTATTGGTCGAGGCATTATTATGGCACGCAATGAACATACAAATATTATAGGATATACATATTTTAATTTGGCAAGAAATGCATTAGAAAAATATTTTACCACTGGATATTGCATGTTTCTTAGAGGCATTTTAGTGTCTTGGAAGAGCAAAAAACAACAGGTGGTCACACGCTTAAGTGTTGAAGCTGAATATCATGCAATGCCATCTGTTTCATTTGAATTAATTTGGCTCAAGAATTTACTTGCAAATCTCAGTTTTGTCTCATACACATGATTTTATTTTATGACAATCAAGTTGTCATGCATATTGCCTTTAATCCAGTCTTTCTTGAACGCACAAAACATCTCAAAGTAGATTGCCATTAAATTCATTAGCAAGTTCAAGCTAAACTTGTTCAGACATTCTATGTTTGCACCCATGATCAACTTGTTGATGTATTTATCAAAATCCTGTCATCTGATTAGTTTCAACATTTGCTCAGCAAGATTGGATTAGTTACTCCAATAGATCTAGTTTGAGAGAGAGTCTTGAAGATTAGAGTATAAATTATAAATCCTTACAGATATTGCAGATATTGAAAATTAATGGAGCATATACTACAACATCAAAAAACAATATACAAAATCCTATATTTATTATATTTTTTATATGTTATGTCTATTTTCTATTTTATATAATCATGTAATTATTATGTATTTTCTTTATAATCAAGGATAGAATCAAATCTAGTTGCCATTGTATTAGGAAGTGATTCTAGCCTATATGTATTGTACTCTATTATCAATAAATTTATAATTGAGGTATTATACTTTTTTAAATTTCTACAAATGCTACTGATTTTTATAGTCAAGAATGTCCAGATAATATAATTAAAAAAAAAAAGGTGATACACTCTAATAAAAAAACACACACCAAAAACGTCAAAATCTCTATTCATAGGCATTTAAATGTTTTTATATGCATGGATAGTTCACATGTGAACTCATCAAAATATAAAAATTGCATAGTAGTTTAATAGTGTGTTTGTATTTAAATTAGTGTTTTGCATGTGCTTTATTAAATCAATTTAAAATTTTAAAAAATAATTTAAAGTAAAAATAATTTTAAAAACGTTTTTTAAACAAACTTTACATTTACATGGGAAGCAGCAAGTTTTGGTTAACAGAGAGAGTACGAGACCATTCTGAGATTTGTGACGTGCAAAACACTAGACAACACAGATCAGTGCTTGAGTAGCCAAAATCATTTACCCACCCACGTCCTCCTCATCCACCATAACAACACAAACATTCTCTGATCACAGCTTCAAATTCTCGCATCCATGATCAAATATTAACTACAATATACGAATATAAACCATATACCGGGAGGTCACCCCAGAAAAAATCAGAATCACATCTAATTGCTTCGTCCCAATTCAGTCTGCAAGTCCCTGTACCGTATTCTAATTTCTAAACCTCTCAATCCGCCCCGAAAAAATCCATCCAAAACACACAAGGGCCTCTGGGCAGTAAGTGTTTGACAAAAATCCAGCAGTGTGCGCTATAAAATATGCCAATGTTGCTTGTTATTGTTAGCTACGTGCTAGTTTTTGGTCTTGTATATTCTTCAATGGCATGATATGGAGGAGACTGACAAAGGGTACGAGAACGTATTGGCATATTCAAAGGTGAGAATGCCACCAGCTACCAAAGGCTTTCCATCGTTTACAAGGCAGTCGTTGTAGCGAAGCCGCTTGAATATCTTGGGGTCGACGAGGCGAGCGGAGCTGAACCAGCCACAGTTGAGGTGAACCCTGCAGATGTCACATCCAGTGGCACACATGTTCATGATCTGAACAGTGTAAGTAGGTATGCCACTAGAGAGAGGAGCTGTGGGTCCCTGACTAATCACAATATCAGCGCTTGTACACTTTTCTCCGATCCTGTTAGGTTCTTCCTTTGCCACCGCTGTGTGAAGCAGATACAAACAAGGTAAAAGGCAAACTTTTTATTAAATTCCATGACAGTGAAAGCTATGCTTTTTAAAAATATATATAAAAAAAATGTAGCAACACGCTTGGCAGCCTCATTAAAACGTGATGTGAACTCAACCACGTACTGACCCACCAAAAGGGAATCGTGAAAAGACAAAAAATACTTTTTGGAGGCGAATCACAGGAATTATGTGAGAGAGGAACAGAGAAAATTAACTCATGATCCATCCTTTATTCAAAGTTCAATGGTGCCCTTCCCCGTGCACAAAGATTGAAAACTCAACCAGACCTTTTGGCCCAAAACAATTTGCTAAGGCACTGCTCACAAATTTTTGAGCAGGAAGGCTAAAAAGGGTTGACAGAAACATAAAAGGGATTCTAAATCCCATCAAGAAGATACTTAGTGTTACTATTTACTACTACTACGACAGCCCAATTGTTGAAGAAGGGTGTCCGTAGTGTAGGGGACCACAATTTGCCAGCGGTGCACGTTAACATGCAACATAGCTAGAAAACACGGACGTGCACCTCTGACAAGTATATCGTACGCTCATCTGAATAATGTGCCGACGGTCTTCCCTGCTGGCGAAATAAAAGGGTATGTGTTATCAGGGAGTGTCATGAACCACAAAAGACTCACGTATACCGCCCCCCACGTCATAACACTTTGTTTTGGCCCCCATTTATTTTATTTCGAAGATATAAAAAACCAAAATCCCATATTAAAAAGAAATTGCAAAATCCACCTGATATTTATTTTCTTTTTTAAGAAGCAAGACCTAAAATAATTTTGCAAAATTTATGAGTCCTTACAGCGAACAAGCAGCTTGCGATGCAGGGAAGAGGCACTGTAATTCCCTTCCTCGTGAAGAAACATGTGGCTCAAGCCCATGAATCCACCTTCATCTTTACCCGAACCTGGAAATTAATATTAAAAAATAGCAAAACAGAATAAAAAATAATAATAATAATTAGAGGAATGAAAACAGATGATGAGATGGATCAGGTATCTTGGATTTTATAACAAAAACAAAAGGTTATTAAAACCAAAACCCACCACTTCAATGATAAATAAATAAATAATCACTTTTATCCATCAAGATAAATAAAAATCCAGAGACAAACCTGAGAGAAATGAAGACTTGGATATCAGTATAGCCAGCAAGAGGACCATCACCAAAACGACGCCAATTATCTTCGAAACCACCTTCCTCATCGTCGAAGAAGAAAAACTCATTGACACCCTCTCAAACTCAAAAGCTTCCCTTCTTGAAACTGTCAAAAGGAAAGGCGTCTCCAAGAAGTCAAAGACGAAGAGACTGACTAATGATAGAACACCTCGAAAATGAGTAAGAACAAAACGACGGAGTCTGACTCGGGGAGAGCTTTGGCTTTTGATAAGATGTTCACTCACTCGCTCTCTCACTCTCTCACACTCTCTCTCAAAAATCTGCAAAAATATAACGATGGAGGTATTATGTAGTTGTAGATATATCACATCAAGGAACGACCGTCAGATTATAAGAGAAACAAATGGTTCAGATTTGACTTTCAAAACACAGAAAAGAAACAGCTACAACTACTTCCCCTGCCTCTGAAATTAAACATCTTAGGTACACGAGGGGAGAACGATTTTTTAAATGTTTCGAAGGCTGTTCAAAAGCATTTTTTATTTAAAAATTTAAAAAAAATAATTGCTAAATTTCGTTTAATATTAACATGTTAAAATCATTAAAAAAACCAATTTAATGCCTATTAACATGTTAAAATCATTAAAAAATACCAATTTAATGCTTTTTAAATTAAATATATTTTTAAAACGGGCTCAAATACAATTAAAAACTCACTTCCAAGCATGCACTGGAAGCCTGAACTACGGAGATATGGAACAGACCTGTAAACAAAAGAAAGCGAGCATGAAAAATGAAAAACAAAATAGGCAGAGTTTTCAACAGAGGAAGTTGTTGAGGAAAGATAAAGATTAAAAAAAAAAAAGGTGCTCAGAGTTTTCAACAGAGGAAGTTGTTGAGGGAAGATAAAGATTTAAAAAAAAAAAAAAGGTGCCGCTGCAGACTGCGGAATTTACTACGCTATAACGGTGTAGACAAAAAGCAGAGACAGAGAGAAGAGGATGATCTTGAAGCCAGAAATGTCAAAAAACACCAGTATCTTCCTCTGAACACTGCATTTATAACTCGTACCCTTCAAGCTAAAAAAACCGTATTCAAATAGATACGTACATCCATACAAAGTGAGTGTATGTGTGGGTGTATCGTGTATGGTATACGTCCGGAAGTTGGAGAGGAGTTCACGGATTCTTCCTTCCGTATTCACCTGAGAGAGAGAGAGATGCAGAACAATCAACACCGAAACGCGTGCGTTTTGTTTGGATACAGATTGAGAGAGAGATTAGGGAAAGACCAGATACTTGGGTTTTCTAAACTGGGCAGTTGACGTTATTACTCTCGCGCTTGAGACTTGAGACCTGGGTTTTGTATTTTTGCGGGTATTCTTTGATGGTGACTAGGTGCAGCTAGTGAGATAAAATGCTCGGAGGGGGTTCCACCATAATAGCTTTCTTTCTTGTCATGCACCGAACCCGATGGTTCTAGGCCTTGCCCCTCTGAGCTCGTGACCTCTACTTTCTTTCTTTCCTTTTATTCGAAAAGCATGGCAATCAAGAGGCAAAAATGAATGCAAGAAATAGTTCTTCGAGGAGAAGAATTTTTTTTAAGATCATGATAAAGATAGGAGAGGGAGGAGGTACATGGAAAATGATTGAGCATTCCGTATACAATGGAGGAGGTGCCATAGAAATATATGGTTGAATTATACATGTAAAAGAAGATTATTAAATAAAACAAAGAGTAATCACTGAAGCCCCTCCCACATTTTTTTTTCATTTACCAGTACCGTGTAATGGTCATTTTATCTTTCTCATTGAAAAATAAATACATGTATTTGAATTAGGATTATTTTAGTATTTTTATAATATACATTAATTATTATTAATTTCTTTGGAAGTATTTTTATATATTTAATGTTTTAATAAACAGTAAAATAAAATAAATACTCTCAAAAATAAAAAAATAAATGGTCTTAGGTAGGGATATTTAAGTATTTTTATTTTTTCATACACGGTATAATAACATATGTATCTTTAGATGTAAGACATTAAATTTATTGTAGGTAGAGACATTTGAATCTTTTAGCCTTGATTTTTTTAGTTAATTGAAAGTTTATTTAAGTGTATTTACATGATTTATTATTAAAATAATAATTTTATATTTAAAAAGTTATTAGCTTGTTGGAGCTACCATACACTTTGGGCTACATGTATAGTGATTTCTCGTGGTCAATAATGAATTTTTACCATCTCATTTTATTTTCTGTTTTCTTTTTTTTATCATAGGCGACATGTGCTCTTCGAATTTGACCAGTGTATTGCTAATGACTCTTTTTTTTCTTTTTATTTCTTTCTATTATTCTAGTAAATACACTATAACCTTTATTATTATTGTTATTTCATATCTCTTTCTTGTCATGCACCGAACCCGATGGTACTAGGCTTTGCCCCTCTGAGCTCGTGACTTCTACTTTCCTTGTTTCTTTTTATTCGAAAAGCATGGCAATGAAGAGGCAAAAATGAGTGCAAGAAATGGTTCTTCAAGGGGAAGAATTTTTTTTAAGATCATGATAAAGATAGGAGAGGGAGGAGGTACATGGAAAATGATTGAGCATTCCGTATATAATGGAGGAGGTGCCATAGAAATATATGGTTGAATTATACATGTAAAAGAAGATTATTAAAACACAACTGAATAAAATAAAGACTAATCATTGAAGCCCCTCCTACAGTTTTTTTCATTTACCAGTACAGTGTAGTGGTCATTTTATCTTTCTCATTGAAAAATAAATACATGTAATTGGATTAGGATTATTTTAGTATTTTTATAATGCATATTAATTATTATTAATTTGTTTGGGAGTATTTTTATATATTTAATATTTTAATAAACAGTAAAATAAAATAAACTCTCAAAAGTAAAAAAAATAAATGATCTTAGATAGAGATATTTAAGTATTTTTATTTTTTCATACATGTTATAATTACATATGCATCTTTATACATTAAATTTATTGTAGGTAGAGACATTTGAATCTTTTAACCTTGATTTCTCTGGTTAATTAAAATTTTATTAGAGGTTATTAACATGTTTTATTATTAAAATAATAATTTTATATTTAAAAAGTTATTGGCTTGTTGGAGCTATAATACACTTTGGGCTACATATATGGTGGTTTCTCATGGTCAATAATGAATTTTTACTATCTCATTTTATTTTCTCTATCTTCTTTTTTTATTATAGGCGACATGTGTTTTTCGAATTTAACTGGTATATTGCTAGTGATTCTTTTTTTTATTTTATTTCTTTCTACTATTCTAGTAAATACACTATAACTTTTATTATTATTGTTATTTTGTATCCATACCTTTTAGTTTTAATTATTTTTTTTTAATATTTTTTTGTTGAAATTTTATTTATTTTCAAATAAAACTTCAACAAAAGATTATAAATTTTTTAAAAATTATAATGTAGGTAAGAAGATTTAAATAAATATAGATGAAATTTTCTTTCAGGATCCACCTCAACATTGATGAATTGAAGAACATTTAAAATATTATAAGTGAAAGAGGGTTGATAGTTAAAACAATAACCTTCATTATTATTGTTATTTCATATTCATACCTTTTAGTTTTAATTATTATTTTTTAATATTTTTTGTTGAAATTTTATTTATTTTCAAATAAAACTTCAACACAAGATTATAAAAAAAAAATTTAATTATAATATAGGTAAGAAGATTTAAATAAATACAGATAAAATTTTCTTTCAAGATCCACCTCGACATGGATGAATTGAAGAACAAAGGGTTTGAAATCATTGCATTCAATGTGTCTTGGTGATTAAATCTTAATTTTAATATTGATATTATAGGTTTCGATTTTACAGGTAATTTAGTTAAAAAAACACATTAATGGAATCCTCTCTCAAACCTCATTAATCGAATAATAGTATTTTAGACTCATTTTCTAAGCGGAACTAGTTAGTATGCCTAAACGATGCGACGTGATAGTTTTCTAAATTTTATTTTATTTAATTTATATGGAAATTAAAATAAGCCAGTGACTTCATCAATGATGCAAACAGGCAGCAACATACCGACATGCATGCAATAGATATGATAATTTTCCACTGTTATGATTACCCAAACTCAAGTAAGAGGGAGACGCATGCGGGATTTATATACGGAATTTACAAAAATGTGCCTACAGCTCAAGGTATGGGATCTCTATACAATCACAAATGGAGCTCTTCTTCTCCCCGTTTTCCTCCGCACAAATAGTAGGAAATGTGCCCGAAATGAGAGAACAGGATGCCAGGAGAGAGTGCAAAGACAAGGGATTAGTGAAGAAAAAACATGAACCCAGCTCCTATGTTAGCGAATCTCGAAAGCTACGTCAGCTTAAGGTCATGATGAAAACCAGACACTAAAGAGGAAGACTACAATATGCACAAGATAACCAGTGGAGGAGATTGATACGAAGTGCTCTCAAGCATAGTCCTTTGAGATGAGATTTCATCTTTTCTCCAACAGCCTGACCTTGTCGAGCAACTCCTGAATAGTATTTGATGCATCCTGCAAGGATACACCTCAAGAGTCATCCAACTATGACAAATAAGAGAAGAAAAAAAACAAATTAAAAAGCACAGGCAACAAATTCTCCCCAGTGGTGACAAGAGGGAGGGATAATGCAAAAAACCTTTAGCTTCTTTCTCAAACTCTCCTCCTCCTGGTCTCGTCGGTCCCTCTCCTCTGAGAATATATCAATCAGACTTTCCTGTTCCTTGTTCAATTCTTCAAGTTTTTGCTGTGCTTCCTGCAACTGAAGAAGCAGAAAGGGAATTAACGTTTCAGGAGATTTCAAATTCAACAAGCCATGTGGCAAACAATAGCACCTAAAGCATACAACTGGAATCCTATATTCCTGATATCCCATCCAACACATTAACTAATGGCAAGTGGAGATGTTGTATACCTGTATCTCAAGTGATTTACACTTCTCACACTGAAAACCACTCATGTACTTCCCTTGAGTCTCTCCTTCCAGTTTCTGTAATCTGCAAACCAAGGAAGGAGATAAATAAAATAGAAGGAAGCATAGTTCTTAAAAGATCAGAGGGAGAAAAAATCAACCTTTCTTTTAGCTCACGATTCTCTTGTTTCAAATGAGCAAGGGCATGATCCCTCTTATCAACATAACCCACCTGTCAATTAAACAGCCTGGATATCATTTCTGTAACTCCAACAAAAAATGCAGAGGCACAGAACACAAAGAAAGGATGGCAAACCTAAATCAATCTCAACATTTACTAAAAATAAGGAAATAAAATTGCTTGACAACATGAAGCACTTGACAGTTGACCAAGCCTTTCTGTTAATTATAATCAGATGTGACCTAAGATTTAAGGAGTAGAAAAATCTTCGACAGCTATCATTAACATGGTCTGCTTCTTTGCAATAGTTCTTCAAGCAGCTCAATGTAGATCTTTTAATGACCGGGGAGTCTCTGATCGACTTCAGACAAGGAACTTGTCAAAGGAGCTTTCTATCTCTAAAACTACCATCTGGGTTATTACCAGGGATAAGATCCCACATCACAAAAGAGACATAAAAAGGATAGCATTGGAAAACATCACCAGCTAAAAGTACACCAGAAAATAGAGATAAAAAGGACAGCATCTGGAAACATCATCAACTAAAAGCACCTTTCCACAAGTGTGGCCTGTAAATTGGCATAGAACTTATAAAAAAAATGATGCAAGAGAAGCAACCTTTGGTTGGGATCTTGTGTCTATTTGTGCCCCTCCAGAATCTTCAAAGTATGAGGACGAACATGTTTTAGGCAACCCATTTTTGTCAAAAGACTTGTTAGTAGGAGTGGTCTCTTGAGTGCTCCCATTTGCTTCTCTCATAAGAAGAGCAACACGCTCATCATCTTCACTACTCTCATCTTGAGCAGGAGGTGAAGGTCCCGAAGATACAGTGTTTTTTCCCAATTTGGTTGGGGTCTTTGTTCTAATATTCCCTTTATTGAAGGCATTTCCATTAACATACCCACGGTTAGAATGTGAGGGGAATATCTTACTGCTCAAACAAGTATACTTCTTTCTAGATTGAGAAGATGTGGGTGGTAGATCATCAGGAGAATTCTCTTCATTTGGAAAGACAACTTCGTGTGAGATCAGTAAGGGGGTAATAAGAAAGCTTTCAAAACTAGTATGCAATAGAAGAAGGCAATGCCTGATGCAAGACACCATATACTTGGAAACATTAAAACATCCCAAAATATACCTCTATCTGACTCATTTATCAGTTTCTTATTTCGCCTTGGAGCATAACCAATTTTGTGGCAGTAAGTGCACCTAAGAAAGTTGTGCACAGCTATTAGTAGGATTTAAACCTCACATATCCTGAAGAGCAATTGATACCAATCAGTTAGAAACATGAACAACAAACCAGTAATGCTTTTGCATTTGTACTAATCGAGCTTCAAGTC